ATATCATTCAGGGCCTCATAGAATTGCCTGTATACATGTAGTTTCTTTTCGGTGTCGCGTAAAAACGACTGACTGAAGTTTGTTTATATTACGAGTACTATCAATAAAAAAAATATATACCATCAAAATATTACCAAAGACCAAATATAATTAAGTTTAGAGATTTACTTTCAACTAACGACACTGATCTTCTTGTACGACTAAGTTATTTTGTTAAGAAAATTATTCAACAGTTTTCCCGGAATTAATCTTTCTAACAACCCTTTTCACTTATTTCTGTGTGTATTACATTTGAAATATTATTGTTTATATTCATCTCTGTTATGTTGACATGTATTGTGATTTGTTTACCTCATGTTTTGTAAAAAATCTTACATGATTTACCAATTAGTGACTGCATATATAAATAACCTATGTAATCAATTTTTCAAAACACAATTTACCACATATCAATCCATATGCTTTATTACTTTACTATTATTTTTTAATTACCAAAACAAACCGATAAACTAACTTACCTTTAATGTGTATTAAGTTCCAGGTTTCCATATTTATTCCTGTTGTATAATTATGCACAGCTAAGTCACTGGGTCATTTACCTTCACCTGTCACTCTATCAGCCAATCAAAAAGGATAGGCGTAAACCAATTTCAATTGTTATTTCACCAGTCAATGAAATACCCCGCAAGACGTGACACGCTTTCCACGACTTTATCGGTACCATGCAATTCTCCCAACTAAATCTAAACGGGCGAAACTATGTTCAAATAATAGGGGTGGCAACATGGTACTTGTAATTTAGGTTATTTACTATTTATTATGTATGAGTTTGGATTCTATTTTCTTTTTTCTGTGTGTAACTTGACTTTTTTGTTAAGAACAAGTAAATGTCACATGATTATGCATGTACATATATATAAACAAAGAATGAATACTGTAAATTTCTTTTTCTCTCGCTTCATACATGAAATTAAACAATTGCATATTGAATCACTGAACATTTGATAACATAATTATTTGTAAATACTTAATGAAATTTGATGTTTGTTCCTATGCTCTGAAATTTTTTTAATAATGATAGAATAAAGATATGATCACCATCCCCATATCTCACCATCCAGTATAGTTATAGTTAAAATGCTGTAACATATATATTATGTTGTAAACTAATTGTTTATTTGTTCACATGTTATTACAAAATGTATGTTTTGTAATCTGTGTCTATGAAATAAAAGAAATGTTCTGTTCTTCTGTTCTGTAATAAGATATTGCAAAATAATTTTGATTTAGTGTCTAGGTTATCTCGCCAACCTGTACACAAAATTGATAACGTTTTGTCGGTCAAGGATCTAACAGAGAGACATAATCTACTGAGATAAAAATCTTATAAGAGTACTTGCAAATAAAAGTTTTCAGTTATTTTTTTTAAAAAAGGGGGGCAAAGTTGTCGGTATTGTCATGTACATGAATTTCAAGGATCGTGACCGTTTTTAATGACCTCGTTATTTTGAATAAAACTGATAATATGTCATTTATATTCCATGAATACACTTCTTTTTCGAATAACCTATTCGAAACTTTAATGACAATTTAACAGCAGAGTAAAGGTATTTTTTGGGGAAACAAGGTATTCAGACCTCAAATACCCGAGAAGTCTAACTAGAAAGCTTGTTTATGAAACTTAATTAGATTATTCAAGAATTTAGACGTGTATATGTTTCAGAAAGTTCATTTATATGTTATTAATGTACGCAAATTTCCAAGATATCCGGTTGCAGATTTCAAAATGATCAATAAAAATTCTTCTTTTATTCAGTTTTTCGAGGAATTAACACTTTCTTAGATGGCCTTCGGCTGAAAAGTGTTTTTTTTTGTTTGTTTTGTTTTCAGTATTACTTGCTTTTCCGTAAGCGTCAACAGCCATAAGTAATTTAGTGCAGTACATATAAAACGTACATAATATGAAGCCTTTAACTTGAATTGATTTGTAAATGAAAACAAGTGCAATTAACTTAAATTTTGATGAAATCAAAAAGCTTATATTTAATGCTGATATTACATATGAAGAACTTCTTCAAGGTATACAATTGTAATTCTGGATAATTCTATATGAGTGGGGAAATTAAACAAGATGTTGTCTGTCTTCATGTTAGATCACTTTGCAGTTTTTGAACTTTTAACTTAGGATTAAGTAATATATATACAGTTCAACATGGTCATTTTTAATACAAGTATACCAACGGTTACAGGACATTATTCTATGTACACGTATTTATAAAAGCAAGGCACTGAAATAATTAATAGTAACTATCCCTAATAAATGATGAAGATTCTTAGAAGTCATATAAAAATTTATCTCTCTATATATCATTCATAAAAAATATACATTTTAACTGGATGTAGTTTTCAAAATACCCGAATAAACTCCTGGCTCTAATTCCCAGCTCTTAACACATTTAATACTATGAAAATCACAAAGTTCATAGCTAAGTTCAAAGTGTATAGCCCATAACTCTATTTTGTAGCAAGTCTTAGTTTGTCCAAGTTTAAATCAAATATGTACATAAATAACAAAATTATGACAATTTTCCAAAACTAGGGTATCACTAAAGGTGTTAAATATCACCACAAGCAACTTTGACTTTTGAAAAATAAGTGGTCTGACAAAAAAATTGAATTAATGAAGTATCAACAGTGTACGAAGAAGTATTTCAATTAATTGCAATCCCAACCAAGATCGTCATATAAACTTGTGTGTAATATCTCATTCCTAACTCTTGTTATTGTCCAAGAACCATTTTCCTATTTTTTGTAATAGTTACTCTTGACCCCAAGGGGTCAAAATGTCATCACAACCAGGGTTTCCACATAAGGTTGCTAAATACTGCGTTTAATTACAATTTTTCCGAAAACAATATTTCTATCTTTAGTAACGGTGACTTTAACCAAAGGGAGTCCAAAGCAATCCTTACCGGGGTGTGGATATAAGCTTGCTCTTGCTATTAACCAAGTTTGTTAACAATATCTCATTCCTAACTCTAATAATTGTCCGGAAACCATTTTCTACTTTTGGTAACGGTGACCTTGACCTTCACCCAAGAGGTTTCAAATGCAATACAAATCAGGGTTATCACATAAGATGCTATATACCAAGTTTGATTACAATTCCTTATTCCTAACTCTAATGTATTGTCCGGAAACCATTTTTCTATTTTTTGTAACGGTGACCTTAACATGACCAAAGGATTCCAAATGCAAAACCAACCGGGGTTTTTATATAAGCTACCTATAAACCAAGTTTGTTTACAAAATCTCATTAGTAACTCTAATTATTGTCCGGAGACAATTTTTCTATTTTTAATGATGTTGACCTGGACCCCAGGTGGTTCCAAATGCAATACCAACCGGGGTCCTCATATTCGCTTGCTATAAACCAAGTTTGATTACAATACTTTATTCCTAACTGTACTTATTGTCCGGAAACCATTTTTCTAATTTTGGTAAATGTGCACTTGCCCTTGACCCCAGGGGATCTAAATATAATACCAACCGGGTTTTCCACGTAAGGTTGCTATATACCAAGTTTGATTACAATTCCTCATTCCTAACTCTAGGTATTGTCCGGAAACGTTTTCTCCTTTTTTGTAACGGTGACCTTAACATGACCCAATGAGTCCAAATGCAGGTTTTTTAACCTTAGCTTGTTCAATCCATTTATCAGGTAGTATGTCTTAAACGAAACTGTAAGATAAACATGTATTTGTAGTTGTTTTTTTTCTTATAAATTACTGAAATATAAATAACATAAACTCAAATTAAAGAATAAAAAAGAAATATAGATTAATAGCCTTTGAAGAGCGAAAAAACAATAAAAAACAATGGTAAAACAAATTGAAAACATAAACCAGATTTAAGTTTAAATTTAAATGTTTACGTAGTATTCATTTCAAATTAATATGATAACATTTCAAAAAGAAATTACTGTAGCGTGCTCATTATATGGTATAAAGCTATATCTAATGAATAATGATTTCATGCATATTTTTTATAGTCATTTGTACACGTGACAATATTCCATTTCATAAGCATATTATATTCTAACATTAAGCCAGTGTTTTAATTTAACAAATAATGTTACTGACCTACATAAGAAATATGCCTTCGTGAGTTGAATTTTTTTTAACTCAAATGAAATTTACCAATCGTTCTAGAAGTATTGAATATCATAAATGCATTAAATAAACCTTTTGTGTATAAGAGCGTTGAAATCAATAAATTCAAATACGATGTCAATTATAAAAAGACTGTACATAAATGTATATAAATCAAACTATCTATGATAAGATCCCTTCTCTAGTTACGCCTACTGTTTGTTTTACCTATGCCTAGTTTCACAATTGTTTCATTAATATAAGAATGACATTATGCCCATCAATATGTTAATGATGCGTACTTATTATGCAGAATTTCAAAAGTGATTATGTAAGAAGTATGTAGGTATGTAGTTTGATTCTTTTGCTAGGTTGGGTAACTAATCAATGTAAAATAAGTGGAAATTGGTAATAATGAATACTATCTTTACAGCATGTTTTCATCACAGGGGATTCTGTCATTTCATTTTCTTTCCCACTATATACACTATATGTATATAATATAACAAGGGATAAAACTCAAAATTGCTCAATTCATGAAAAATGTAAATAGAACGCAGTATACAACAGTTTTGTTTTCTTTTGATTGATGGACAATCTTGAAAGAATCTTCAGTTTTCAAAAAATGACTGACTTTGATACATGGACAAGATATTTTTAAAAATAACATTTCGTGTTTCATTTTTACACACGTTCGTAAAATTTCGGTTTGTAAAATTAAACGATATCTAATGCAAACGTATGCTCATATAAAAAATTCTAATCATGTTATCGGTACACATTGTCTAAGATAATGTCACCATATTAGACGTAAACGGAATAATAATAAGAAGAAGAAACAGTACTGACTCGACTCGCAGATAACTTCCACAATCGATTAATCACTTTTTGCAACCAATCAAGTACACTTTCCACTTGCAAAAATTTGGAACAGGATTGCCACTAAAGTTTTTTCAACATTACTTCATGTTTACAAAATCGCCTGAAATCCGAATATGCTGCGCATGCGCAATGCGATACCTATATAGAGGCCCGTCACAGGTTCTTTTGAAAGTGCACTATCATAACAATCGTAAGTAGATCAACACATATGGAAGTTTTACTTTGCTAAATGAATATTTTTAATATTTTTTAATCATTTAAAGGTAAAACGTCAATATATACCTGAATGTCTATCACACTAGACGCTGTATACAAGCCAAATAAATACCAAAAAAATATTTTTTCTCACTCTTCTTGTTACATTTCAACATTTTCATACTTTATGCTGGGATTTTCCCTTGCCTGTGTTTTAGTCCTTCTTTTACTTTTAAGTACATGAGGATCTAATAGACATTTATTTTTCTGTACCAGTTATTGGAAAGCGATATAATGAGACCTGAGGCAGGCATTTTCTGTAGTAAAGCAGAAACAGGTGAATATCTCACAGGTCGCTAGAGAATACGACAAGGAGTTCCGAAAACAACCGTGAGTATGGACGACAGCTAGACTTATTGAGGCAGTTGCAAAAGCACCGGTGCATTTCATAAGTTATATTCTGATAATGGCTTTCCTATGTCCATATATATATATATATATATATATATATATATATATATATATATATATATATATATATATATATTATATATATATATATATATATATATATATATATATTATATATATATATATATATATATATATATATATATATATTTATATAGCATGAATTTCTATATACTATATATTTTGGGCTTGAATGGTAAATATATATTTTTATATATTGAACGAAATTAAGACGCCGACAGAGTCACCGAGTAGTTTTAAAACAAATCATATACATGTAACTGCAAAACCCTCTGAAAATTACAATTACAGATATTCTTGATGTTAGACAGATACTTCATTTGACAGATACTTTAACGTTTTCATAGTTCTCAATAAAAGCCATTTTGAAGTATAAGTGCCATTCGGAACTGCCTCGGCTATTATCTATAATTACCTCGGAAACAATACGGATTGAAAGTAGTTCTACCACGTGGTTTCAGATGTAAACAGAAACAGAGATATTGTAAAACGAATGTATATATTTGACATGTAATGTCTGTTCCGGTACTCTTATGCTTGAAAAATGTCTGACAACAATTTGTAATTTAAATATGCCCACTGATGTTCAATTTTAAACAAATCCGACTAAATGTTTACAGGTTGTTTTTTTTTTGTACTTTCGGTTTCTACAGCCATAATAATAAATGTATAAATAATGTATTGTTTGCTTTTGTACCTATGAATTCGCTTATTTTAGGTGAACTTGTACTACATATATTGGAAATAAACTTGTCAACAACTCCCAGCATCAAATTACTATTTGTTTACATGTTTAGTTTCTTAGCGTAGGTTAGACCGAAATACCGCATCCGTTCTGTGTATTCATACTATTGTGTTCGAGGTCCTTATCCGAAGACTGACGGAAAGGGCCGAGTAGTTGCGATTGGTCTAAGTGCTATAACCTGACCCACGTTGGTCAAGTTGGGAAACTACCATTTTATTCTTTATAAAGAGAAAGGTTTTGTTTCTTGAACTGTTTAGTATTTTTATTTCGAGGACATTTATAGAATATTGAAAAAAAAATCAAATCGTAGAAATGAAAATTTTGCCTGTGTCTCCCTGGATTCTACACTTAAGAATTAAAAAGAATACACTAGTACTATGTGCTACCTATTCAGGTGATATCATGATTTTTTACCGTAATTATAAAGACCGTTGCTTTTTAAAGGTTCAAATACGCTGTTTTTACCTTTACCTTCATGAACATTATGCTCAATCTGTCTGGTTAAGTTCAATTGCCCATATATTTAAAAAGATTGACTATTATAATGGCGATTGAACAATAATTGATTATGAAAATTGCCAAGGATAAAATATAATAAATTGCCTGAAATATAAAAGGCCTGTCCCACTCTTTTTATAAACGGAGCATTAACGACATTTTCCGAAGATTATCTATAGAAATTATTGTGATTCATGTGGGTTATTGATTATTCACATGGACTATTATAATTAAATCTATAATTTAAAATTGAAACCTATTATGGAAAAATCTCAAGTTATTTTGACTCCACCATTTATAATGTCTCTTTAATTTATGTTTAAATATGGATCTCTTTGTTTGTTATTTCATAGGTAATGAGGGTATACGATGTAGTGTTGCCACACGTGACACTGAAGAAAAGTTTTTCCTTCAGTCAGAACGTCAGTTTACCTCTTTTATTTCTCACCAGATGGGCCAAATCTGTTTTAACGTTTTACGTTACGTTTTAACCCTGCGTAAAATCCAGACTGGATGACATCCTACAACAACTCAACTTCCTGAATGACGAAGGTCAAACGATAGGTCCAGATGGTAAAGGGACAAACGGACCTGACGCTGTGCTGTTGATGGTAGACTGGACATTGCAGAATCAAGTTAATAAGATTCCTGCCTTGTCGATACACTCGGTACTTTTAAAGCAAACTATTTACAATGATATAAAGGACAACGATTAATAACAGTACCTTTTATGGCTGAACAACCATTTTACACAATCGGAAATGCATTAGTACAAGGAGTATACTACTTAAATACCTGTACCAGTACTTGTCAATTTATGCTGTATTAGTAAAAATACCAGTATTGTACCAGTACTTTTATTTTGGAAGTTATTTACCCTTTAGCTCATATATACGCGAAACAACGCACTTTCGACCCCCCCCCTCTATTTGGCCTCAAATAGTGAAAAATTGTCATATTCGGGCCCCAAAAACGGTTTTTTGTTTGAGAAATGTTGCTTAAAAACGTGAGCACTTTTTCGGCCCACCTCCCATCCAAAAGATACATCAGGGGGTTGCCAGAAGGGGGATGTTTGGGTGGGGGGGGGGGGGGGTTGAAGGGGGCGGTAGTCCCTCTCATCGCCAAAAACATTTTGGACTTGTGAGAGGCTAAAAATAACCCCAGGTCGATCGTAAGGTAACGTCTTACCAACGCTGAAAAGCCTTTGACTCTATCTCAATTCTTTGAGAAGTTGCAGCACTTTGAAATAAATTTTGATGGAAAAAATCAAGGCAAAATAGTGATTTTTGGCAATTTTGAGATGTCCCCTCGTTGCCATGATAACAGGAAATTTAAGACTGAACATGCCGTTACAAAGGCAATGGTCCAGTTAACATTTGTGCCAAGTTTGATTAGTACTGTAGAATTTTTCATAGTTTCATAGCAGTTTGAACTTGTAAGAGGAGGCTTTTCAATGAAAACGGCCATTTTTCACAATATACTCATGAAAGGGTAAGGGAAAGGGTTAAGTACCTGTACTTTTACATTTCACCATATTTTGCATACAGACTGTTTAATATAAATTTCCACAATATAAAAGTATAAAAATAAATAGGATAATATATGGGATAAAAATTTACTCCTTTTATGAAAACCAAAGTTGTCCCTTATTAATGCAGTACCAGTGCCACATTTTGAGACAGTAATTCAGTACCAGTACATTTAGCAGAAAATACTTTATGCGAGTTATTCAGTGACAGTACATTTGTACCAATATAGTACTTGCAAAATAAATGTGCAGTACCAGTACCAGTAGTACATATTTGTATGCAATTAAAATATCAGTCACGTAACTTGTTCTTATTATTTACTTCAAAATTAAAAGATTACTTTGAATATAGACCTTTAATTATAGCATAGTGAATAACTTTTACTAACATAAAAATAATTGTACTATATCTTATATTTCAGTTTAAAATAAGAACCGTCACGATTTTTGTGGTACTTCATGACAGGACAGAATGAAAAAATCGAGTATATGAAAGTACCAGGTACTGATGCAAGAAAACTTCATTACTTATTTGTTTTACTTACTTCTAGGTACCTGATTTTAACAGTCTTATCTGATTTTCCCAATGGAAAAATATCTATCTATCTCTGAGTACTGCCAACCCCTCTCGCGAGTGTTATAGGCAGGAAATTGTGCGCGTCGGGTGTGTTAGTGAAAGGTGTGAGAGAAAGTAAAAACCTGAAAATGAACATGATCAGGATAGTGAGAGACATTGAAAACTTCTAGTCATTGTTAAAATATTTTTATTAGTAAGGGTGAAAGAAAGATTTAAAAGTAAAAACACAACAAGTCAACTAATACTGTATCTTAGCCACTGCCTGTTTGTATTGATCTAGATCAGGCAGGGTGACAATGTTCCTTGGGAGCTGGTTCCAAAGTGTGATACAGTGGGGGAAGAAGGAGAACTTATGGTAGTCTGATGTAACCTGTATTTTCCTAAGTGAGAGGGATGCATTATGTCTAGTAAGCCTAGATGGAGTTTTTAATGTAGGTAGGAAGGCTAATGGCTACAAGATTATGGTAATTTTAAAAACATAATAAGTCTAAAGTCTAGTCTGCGATGCTCGAGAGAAACGCCAGCCCAAGATCTTTCTGCATGGGCTGTAACTGATGACAAAGGGGAGTAATCCTGTTTTACCCAGCGTATCGCTCGTCTTTGGACCATCTCTATTTTTTGGATGTTTGATTGTGTGTAGGGGCTCCAAACAGTTGATGCATATTCTAGCTGGGGTCTTACTAGGGATTTATAAGCTAGTTCTTTTACTTTTTCATTTTTTGTATTGATATTTCGTTTTATGAATCCTAGGGTTTTATTTGCATTTGATGTAATTCTTGAGATATGTGTGTTGTAGTTTAGATCTGTGGACAAGTCAAGGCCAAGGTATTTTGAGCTAGGAACTGATGTTAAAGCTTGGCCATGAAATATGTATCATAAACACTGTCGTTTTGTTAAAAAGTATTTATATTTTTTTCTTTTTAATCGTAGCAGGTAAGGCTTTTTCATATTTCAAAATAATTTTAATTTTCGTTTTAGGACATGTGCGATGTTAAGTTGATGTTCTATTTGCACATCTAAAGATTAAATTTCGTAGACATGATGTAGAAACACTACAACAGCTAG